TCTGGTCAGGGGAGAAGATTAAGTGTCCCTTCTAATATCTCATTGTGGGATATGAGAGTCATGGAGACTTTTTAATTTGACAACGTAATTGCCCGCAAAGATGAGCAAACAACAACACAAAAACACAGCTGACATGACGAAAGAAATGAGGCGTACTGACTGGTCCAGTTAACAGGGATATGCATTCTGTGTGCCATGTCACCTTGCAACACAAGTTTTGCTTCTGTTTTATTCCAGTTATGGTACCAAGGAGAGAGAGAGAGAGAGAGAGAGAAAGGTGGGGAGCGGGCATGCTTCCATGTGTGTGTTTGCGAGAGAAAGAGAGAGATAAAGAGAGAGAGTATATGTGTAATTGTGTGTGGTGGGGAGAGAAGTGTGTGTGTGTAAGTGTGTGTGTGTGTGTGTGTGTGTAAGTGTGTGTGTGTGTAAGTGTGTGTGTGTGTGTCAGAGCGAGAGAGAGACATGGGAAGAGAGAGATGGCCTGTGTATATGTGTGTATGTATGCGTGTGTATGTGCGCGTACCGGTATATGTGTGAGAGGGAACGAGAGAAACCCGAGAGAGTGTGCATGTGTGGTTGAGTGTGTGAGAAAGACAAAAGGAGGGAGAGAGGGCGTGTATATGCGTGCGTATGTGCGTTTGGGTGAGAGAGAGAGAGAGAGACAGAGAGAGACAGAGAGAGAGAGGTGGGAGGCGGGGAGCTGAAGGTATTATGGCACATTAACAGAAAAAAAATAATAGAATACGAAAATAAAAAATAGAAAGGGTCATACATGTTGATCATCCTTTTCTCCGTCTCCTAAGCAACACGGGAGAATATTTCTGCGAGTGTGAGAATCTCGGCGGAGTTTTGTCTGCGTCTTCTTACTCTCCCCCTGTGTACAACAAACAATGGAATACAGTGGTAGAACAACTAGAATACAACACCCATGTTAACTAACAGAAAGCATGCAACAACCTCGGGAATTAGGTTTCACATTTACGGTTTGCAGTTAAAGAAACAAAGACTATAACACTGTAATTGGATGAACAATTAGGTAAGGCAAGCTAAATATGTTGTGTATGTTGCATTTCCAACATGTTAAACATTGCAAGCACTGGTAAACATACGGGACATATAACACATCTGTACTGTTGAACTTCTACATGTTCCCTACAGTCGCAGCCGAAGCGTGTGGTAAAGTAACATACTACATGCATATTCACCAAGGTTAAATACTATAAGCAACTGTTAGTATCTTTTTTTAATTTAGTTGCCCCATAAAAGCCGGGATTTGTTCTTTCCATGAAACCCCTTAAATTCAAAATATAGGAGCTTGAATGCAATCCCCCACGTGCAAGAAATCTTAGCGAATTCTGGGTAAAGTGATCAGCAGGGTAGGGCTACATTTTACACCCCAGCAAACACAGTACGTTATCATAACGTTTCATAACAAATAAACGTTATTGTAACGTTATGGTAACGTATAGGTAACGTTATAAACCATCTCTCTGTGCTGGGACTGTGTCCAAGAGCACAGTGAACACAAAACCCGAACAGGCTGCTCAGTCGTATACCTACTTCCTGAAGTGAAAACTAAGTAGTTGTCTTGGTGGACAAAGTTAAAAAATCACATAAGACTCAAGAGAAAGCGTGCACGGGAGGAAACATTCGGCATCCGTTCATAGGGTTTAAACAGATACGTGAACGAATAGTGACGGCGCTTGTTTACAAAACAGTCAACATCCGACACTGCAGGAAGCTCTGATTTTCTGTAAAAAAATGCACGCAGAGTGTTCGTCATAAAAGTAGATTACAACACGAAGGTATTTGGATACATGGGATATAAAATCAACAAATGCTAAGTTATTTACAAAACATATATGTCGTTTTTCCCTTACATTTAAAACAGTGGTAGACGTGGAAGCACCCTCGTATCTGTTGGACGATTTGTTCTTCCTTCTCCGTCCAAATGAGTTACTGGATTTTAGTCTAATATACGTGCTTTTGGGGCCATCTATAACGTCCGCAAGCTGTGAAAAAGCAACAAAGCAAATATGAGGCTAAAGGAAGCAATCTTGGTTACATTCCGCACACTCGCAATGCATGAAGTTCATAGTAACAATTGTTATTAATATCGGCATTATCTTAAAGGACCACAATGAGCGATGACTGTTAAATATAGCTAAAGCTGAATTACCAAGGTCAGTATCTAAAACTGTTCACAGAATTATGATTCACAAAGCCCGTTTTGAGACAGAGACTGACATAAATTAGACATTAAATACTCGAAAACGGCTTTTATGGATCGCAATGTTCTGGCAGTTTTGGATACTTTTTACCTTGGCGATAGAGTCAAAATTTCCAGGACAATTCCATTTTTTTGCCCTAAAAAACGCATTCCATGTCTTTAATATGCTGAGTTAAGAATAGAAATAAAAGGGACCATGCCGGATCGTTTGCTGGTGAGGAACTAAACACTAAGTCTTTAAAATGCACCACTATTTTGTCCCATTTCACGTGTCAATTGACCTTTTTTAACTGGGCATACTACAATGGAAACCAAACATTCATATTCATCAATGACATTTGCAGAACCTTGAAACTGCGTTATACTGCGTACGCGCGACCTTGACCCACATTTCAGAACGCAATATCATTTTTGATACGTGTAGCCATATAGGCTATAACATAACCATCCTTTATTCGCATTTTCCGTCAATAACTAAATTCATCTATACCAGAAAGTGGCTCTCTTTGCAGCGTAGAATGTGTTGTCAAGGTAACGCATGCAGTCAGTACGAGTGGTTGTGTTATTAACCAAGCCTGAACAAGCTGTTATAACGTCCATGCCCGCTGCAATGGTAGCATGCAATGTACATATTAGTATAGTTGCATACGTTGTATACTATATATATAATACTGTACAGATGTATGTAATGTAAGAAAAATAATCAGTGTAATATGCAACGTTTCAGAAAATAAAATTATGCGAAAAAAAAAAAAAAAAAAACAAAGCATCAACCACCTACCGGGGAATCTAGCCCCATATTTTCTGGCAAATCGAGTCTCATGAAGAGTATCTTCGCAAGATATTTAAAGCACACTTTTTTCACCCATCGTGGCGGTTCTTTGCCACGGACTCCTTTGTGATGGATATTTAACGTCAACACAGTCATCGCCGTGGCGCCAGAAACTATTGCTATGGTTACTCCGTAATATATTCCTGGAAATAGACAATGCGAATGAGGAGGGAAGAACTCTCAAATCAATATACAAACTCACAACAACGAGCGTATGAAATCAAATAATTGATTTTTATGATGTGTGCAGTATGCACAAATAATACTTAAAAATATCGGCACACACCCATCTATTTTACAGTTACATCTATAAATACCACGCATTACAAATAACATAGAAGTGACATGCTCTGGAGAACAAATATAACCAATAATGTGAAAATATCCAAGGAGTAATCCAACTGCATCAATGGACACATAATGGTAGCCTTACCTATCAGAGGTAAATTCTCGGAAGATGGCGGCATGCTCTCTGTGACCAGCATGAGGAAGACAGTCATCGACAACAACGTCGTGATTCCCATTGTAACTTTCTCTCCGGAGTCCGACGGCACATAAAAGCCTAGCAAGGCAACAAGCGTTATTAACACACACGGCAACATCATATTAAACACATAAAACATGGGGCGACGTCGAATGTGCACGTAATACGTGATATCCGGGTACGGCTCGGCGCAGCATGAGTAATACTGGACGTTGCGTTCCACGAAAAGTTTCACCAAAACCCACTCAGTGCTCTGCATATAGTTTGAGACGTCACCTTCGTCCGATACCATGACCAGATTTAGCTGGTAGCCGTCGTAGGACCAAGAAGAGAAAAGCATGGAGCAGTTTTGTTCGTCAAAGGGAAAATTGGCCACGTTGATTGTACACGAACTTTTGTATATCACAGTCGATAGCCACGTGATGTTACCCACGTGATTGATGATGACGTTGGTGCTGACCGAAGACATGAAGGCTTGAACGTCTGCGCTGAACAAATGAAGAAGAGAAACGATTATGCATACCGTATTAGAATATTTCAAATATCAATGGAAAGTGTGCATAAGAGAAGCTAATCTTTGAAAAAAGTTCATTTTTTATTTTCTTAGGATAAATTTACAAAGAACAAAACCCAATACATTTTTGTTCAGATCTATTACTTAGGCTGAGCGAGTCTTCGACCATTTTGTTTGGTGAACACAAACTTTGGTTGTGATTGCGTTGGGCAGCTCAACTAACACAATTCCAGTTCATGCGCTCTACACATTCACCACAAGTTATCACTCGACGCTTTGTAACCTAATCAAAGATGTAGTTCTAGTAACACTTACTTATTATATAACAAGATATCAGGAAGCCATACTTGATCATACGGAACTCGAATGACTCGAATGCCGCCATATTTATTCGGATCCCAGACTAGTTTAGGGTCGATCCACATCTGTAAAATGAAGTTATTTTATTATTACATTTTACTTGAATTTACTGAATGACATCAAATTCAAAGGAAAGTAATATTAAACCATTTAAAATAACCAAATTTTACCTATATTGGTATCAATTTATAGAATATTCAACAAGAATACCCCAATGTACAAAGTGTTGCGGGGAGGAGATCTACTGTATATGTGTACTTTTTTCGTGAAAGAAAAACCGTATAGATGGCGCCAGATGATCTTGTTTCCCAACCCTTTCCCGTGAGACTGAAGTGTGTTAGGTATTGGGAAGACATGAGTTACGGGTGACCAAGAATCAGGTTAAGACTATAAGTATAAGGAAAGCAATTAGATTGGGGGTTTCTTTAAACTCTTGGTAATTGTCTTTTCTTTGCGGTTGTTATTTTTCGTTAAATCAGTAGTACTGATGTAATTATTCGTAAAAATAGCAAAATTGAGAAAAAAGAGAATACCTAAAATGAGAATAATAATAGTAACATTTTTTTCTTTTTCACCTCTTACATGTGTGCATGTGTAGATGTAGATTATTGAAATCACATATATTATCAAATAGAAGCATTAGCTGTGCATATTCTCTCTCTCTCTCTCTCTCTCTCTCTCTTTACTTTTTCTCTTTCATACAGGCGACATATAGAACGTATTTTTTGCGTTTGGTGTTGCACTTTAATGCCATTCACAAAGAGCAAAAAAATCTAGACATAATGCAGTTTGATCTATTCGGATCCGTTGTGCACATTTTCTTAATGTATTTCTTGGGAACTGGCTTAATGAAACCAATAAACAACAACGTGACTAGTTTTCAGAAAATCCACTCCTCTGTGTCACTGAGCTTGCACTCACCACACGAATGAATGGCCTGCATTCTCAGCAAATAAACAGTCCACTGAAATGCTGAGACAGAAAATCCATCTCCGAATCGCATGCTTAATTTTCACAACAAGAAAAATAAATTCTTCTTGTCTCGTGTAACGAGTTACGCGGAGATATATACTGTATATCTTCCCTCAAGTGCGCTTAGGTCGAAAGATCAATTATTCAGAAAAAGTAACAATATCTCAATCGAATCTGGTTGTGTATTTAACCAATTTTTCGTTTCCTCCCTGATATGAAAATAAATACTATACTATTTACTTAGTTTTCACACAAATCATAAAATGCATTCTGAATACAAAAGATAAAACATTTTAGACGTGTGCATGTACGTCTCAAACTACTGATTGGCTATTCTCGCCACCAGGGGGCAGTTGGGGACGACGTCATTACTGAAAATTCTCACAGTCCAAAAATGTGTCCATAATTAAACAAAGAAATGTCTGTAAATATCACGTGAAAAATCTCCATGAGACGCTGGTAGAGGGCAGATCATACAGGCGGAGCAGTCTTAACTCACAGCGTGTATGCTACCACGAAAGCCTTGAAAGAAGCATACGCCCAATATAAAATAGCCTCTTAGCCAATACTCCGGTCCCGACCCAGTACATCAAAGTTTTTTTTTAATTATCAGGCTTACTTCCCCGACACCTTGGAAGTAATTAATTCAAACAAACAGATCCTTGTCCTTATATTTGTTTTGATGTCAAAAGGCGCGTTTCGTCTTACCTTAAAGTTTGCCGACACCAAAACATTCCATTTAACCCATCTTAAAGCGTTTTTGTCAGCCTGGTATGCAACTCTGACAAAACCAGCCATCCGATAACTTCTTAAAAATAAAAGACAACCGAATGGACCCTGGCTAGATCGGTCACAGATGCTTGATCTTAAGTTATTGACAATGGAATTGAAATAAATCTACATTCAGGATCGAGAACTAAAATTCGTGAATCAGGTGAAGGTATTAAACCCCCAGGTCGCAGATACCATTGTGTTAAGTCAGGCGTTGTATCACGGTTCATTAGGCGTTCAGAAGGGCCTCGGGCGATATCTCTTTAACCGCCCCAGGCATGGGTGTGTGTTGGACTGACCCGTTCTCAGCCCGCGCGGCAAATACAATTAGGCAACAATAACAGGCAGAGGTAAAATAAACACACGTCGAATGAAGGGGGTGATTCTCATTTCACTGGCTCTTTAACTTAAGCTGTTTTTCTCTACACATATACCCCAGTGTGTGCTTTGTGAGCGTTTTGTCCACGTTAGTGCTGTCTGAAGTTAAAGACCACAATTACTACCCACCTGACCTTAGTTCGAAGACTGAAAGAGAGCGTGGCCCTAGGTGAACGGACTTAATCAATTGCAACGAGTAACAATTTTGAAAATCTTCAATATTTTGGAGAGAAGTCACTCTGGGTTCGCAGGTGGCACGGGGTTAAGGAACCATGACTGGAGGTATTGGTTAAAAAAGTAATTAATACAGCGTCCATTGGTGTAACTCAGTACAAGCAAGATGACTTGTCTTTAAACTGTTTCAAATATGAATAATATGAGGCCAAAATAAATGATAGAGGCATCTTCATTTTAAACATGGTTTAAGGAGAGAGAGAGAGAGGGGGAGGGAGAGAGAGAGGGAGGGAGGGGAGAGAGAGAGGGAGGGGGGAGGGAGGGAGAGAGGAAGACTCACCTGGTTTAACCAGCAGTTGGTGGTCAAAATTTGATTTTTTTCATCCTGAAAAGAAAAAAAATATAATGATTAGCCCATTCACATCAACCAAATATCAATCTTCAGAAGCTAAATTAACATCTAAAACATTTTATGACACCGTGATTAAAATAGTCAGTCGTTATTTCTTCATTATATACTCTATCATATATCTTCATTCTCAGAAAACGTACACTGAGCCAATCTTTAAAAACTTTCGCATAAACATTCTTATTGGGGGATATTGAGCAAGGCAGTATATACTAGTATCTATATATCTGTCTGCCACCACATAGGACACATGTACAATTATATCATCTAAACTGGCCACACAGTGGACAATGTGATTCTAACAATATCATTGTCATGATATCAAACGGCCCCTGTATCTTATATCGAGGTGGGAACATGTATAAGTAGCCATATTAACTTATTATACATAACAGGGGCCCGCCTGTATGATGACAAGGGAGGAAAATGGATATCAAACGGCAGTGGTGATTTGTCAAAGTGTTTTGAATAAAATCGACTGTTGTTTAAGTCTTCCCTATAGATTTCCTACAGAGGTGGTTTCTGTTTTTTCACATAAGGTATTTTATATTATTTGATAAAGAATGCAAAGACGTGCAGATTAGGATCTATTTGAACTTTGAAGGCAGACGACCATCAAGTAGGCGACCGGGAGGCGAGAAGCGCGCCATGAAAGCAGACGACATGTTACTCCATCTCTTTCCTTCCTTAGCTCTGCAATCAATACTGTCAATACTTGACTCTGACAGACATCCCCGGGGTCAAATACTCTGGAAACGGCCCCTGTATCTTATATCGAGGTGGGAACATGTATAAGTAGCCATATTAACTTATACATAACAGGGGCCCGCCTGTATGATGACAAGGGCAGAAAATGGATATCAAACGTCAGTGGTGATTTGTCAAAGTGTTAATGAGCATGCAATTAATCATTTGTTTGAAGAAAAATAGCCATTTGTTTAACCAGAATAAGTGGTGTTTGGTAAAGTACTACCGGAGGGTAGTGGTCACGCTGAAGAGAGAGGACCCAGCGTGAAAGAGGACACCTAGCTTCCGCACGCGCCTACGGAGTGCAAACAAGACGCTGTGTTTCACACACTCAAATGTCTCTTCAACCTACACATTCAACCAAGCGACTCGACACAAGACCCGTGTGAGAAAATTGAATTAAAAGGCTTGACACATCGATCTCAATGGCGGTAAATTACCGTGTAGATCCAAATAGGAATTAATGGGTTTACTCAGTTTTTTCGCAGTCGTCATTTTGCGCACCATTTCTCGCAAGAAGACAAAGGTTGAATTATTTCTGTAGATTTAGTTCTTTTGTTCTTTTCTTTGCTTGTGTCTTCGGCTGTGCAGTCTTAAAGCGATTAAGAAACGGGGTGCTTGATAAGTGAAAGCATGTATACTGTACATTTGGCGATAGTCTGTCAACTGATTCTGTCGTATTTTACAATCTGTGATTTGCAACTATTTACGACCAGACGCAGCACATGTATCTTTCTAGAACTATCATAATAGAAAAGATTTAAGTTATGCATAAATGTAGTCAGGAAGACGATTTATTTACAGCTTTGAAAGTTCCCGTTCAATAACAAATAAAGAAGAATTCGCAGGAGTCCTAGATCTTAATTTAATATATATTAATAATTTATCTTCACATTTAGCTCATAAGATAGATCAGTAAGTTTTTTTGTTTATTGAAGATGTTGAAATAATGACTGAGATAATTCTGCACACCCATGAAAATAAATATTCGCGCAGATGAATAAGTTTTGCTGCGTATGTATCATTATATACGGGTAAAATGTAGAGTCAAGCAAGTACAAACTTGTATACATGACTGACATTTAACTACAGTAGCATTAAATAAAAATTATACGTACAACACAGACCTATAACCTATTTGCAAAGGTTTTCAGTTTTATTAATAAACAGTGCATTCATGAAAAGGATATGCGAAACAGTGTTGTAGTCAGTGAAACCTTATGTTGATTCTTTCAGTTCACCTCTCAAAAAAGTATCGACCAAACGCAAGTCACTTACTGTAGTTAATTGGATGGTATTGGGTCGCATCGGAAAACTAAATTAAGGTGAATGCACTTAAATCATGTGATACGTTGACTTGAGCCGATATCTGCACTTTTTACCACTATGTACGTGAACTCGAGAGTTTTTTCAGGCCCGTAGCCGGGGGGCGGGGGGTTCGGGGGGTTCGAAAGAACCACCCTTTTTTCTGGGAAAAGGTCCACTCTGGGTAAAATTTGATCTATGTACTTGAGAATTTTATGATAAAAGGTCCACTTTTTCAGAAAACGACCCCCCCCCCCCTCTGAAATTGCTGGCTACAGGCCTGTTTTAGTACTGTCTATTTAACCATTCACTACAGCATTTAATGATAAGATGTACATAGCAACAGTCATTTTAATTTTCTTTCCTTTATTGTGTTTTAGGGATTGACTTATAATGTTTAAAACTCAAGTAGAGGAATAAATACTGTTATAAGTGAATACTTTCTCTCTCTCGTCATAAGTTGTAGTACAGATGATCTAATCTGAAAAAAGAAACTCCACAATAAAATGAATTCCTACATGTAGCAGCAGGTCACTAACATGTCCCTTAGATCATTAGCTATATAATGGCCTGATTAAGACAGAGCAGTTAATTAACCAAATAGTAGTGTGTTAAATGATAGTGATTAGATGGTAAGGGTTTCCCTAGATATGTCAACGGTTACCGTAGTAAAGTCCCCTTGCGTGCGTGCGTTAGGCCAAAATTACGTTCAAAGGGAAACAATTTTTTTCTTTGCATCACCGCCGTGTCTACGTGTTCGGTTTATTCAGCGGCGCTACAAAACATCTTTGTTTGGTGTGCTTTTCTTCAGATATCCTTTCTGGTGAAAAAGTAGCATTAGAGATTACTGTGGAATTAATTCCTTCTAATTAACGGTATTATTTCACCTTTAAGCTCGTTATCAATCATAATTTCGTTACATCGATACTGTTACAATAATAGGCTTGACAATCCTCACGATCAGTTTCACATCGCAGATCAAAAATGTTTTGAAAAAATAACTACGAAAAATGTAATTGATAAAATAATCAACAAAATACTTCAGTTTTCAAATACAGTCCAAATGACACCTTATCTTGTATCGCATTTAATTGTAAAACTCGCGACTTTTCTACAGCGCTGTAATGGAGGGTCTTGTCCTGATCGAGACCCGACCTCTCAGTAATTCAAACGTATCCATTTATCAACCGATGGAAGAGTGCTATCAATAAATTAAGTAATTTCAATATCCGGCATCCACTTACTGATCAATCCACTGAGCTAATATCGGAAAATATTAAAAACGTTTTTTTGGAGAGAAACGTCCCCAGAGTTCGTCTCATGCATCCCACCGCCTTTCAGTAATTGACGGATACGTGTCGTTTGTGGAGTTGACTTGACGCATGGAAAACTCATAAGGTGTTGATTGTGGATTTCCCCCTTTTTATTTGTGTTTTCCTGAAGGATGTAGTCAAGGGCGATGTGCTGAAGAGGAACATTTGCCTCTGTGTGTGTGTCTGTGTGTGTGTGTGTGTGTGTCTGTATGTATGTGTGTATGTATGTTGTATGTTATTTGAGCATGTACGAGCAAGTGCAGAAGTTTTACACAACTTTGCGTACAATCCCATTGTTGTTAACATTAAAAGAGGGTTTTCTTGCGTGGCGTCTGGAAAGATGATCGGTACATACACATGAACGCCTGCTGTTGTGAGTGGTGAGAGCGTGCGCGGTGCATGTGAGGACGTGCGCGGTCATTCAGGATAACGGTTGTTGTAATGTTACGTTCAAACCTCATACATCATTGGGATTGATTTCAATGAAAGCTTGTACACATGTGTAAATAATGTGAGGTATATGTCCACAGAGTGGTTGTTGTTAGTACAGTCAGTCCGAAGAGGCAGCGTCAGAAGTGGACTCGGAGTGTAATTGACGTAACTTGTGGGTTATCTGAACTAAACCAGACTGTGGACATTTGGATATAGGCAGTCTAGTCCAAAACCCGCCTGTGCTTCAAAAGATGACCGCAGGACAATATGCATTAATTCAGAGTATAATTTTACTGACGCAAATCATCACTTTATTACAGTATTTCTTGAATATTTCTATCACTATTTCTTTTAATGCAAAAGTTTTGATAGAATGGTTTCTTTTTTATCAAAGAACATTTCTGTTAAAGCCCCGTTACAAAGAGCCAGGCAGCACGTTTGTTTAGATAAGCAGTGCGTTTGTGTTGGAAATTAATTGGTTTGTTTTTCTTAGTTATACAAAGTCACGGCAGAAGTATATAAAAAGGAACAACTTACCTCAAATAAACAAACTATAATTCTTACATGTGTCGAATCTATTTCGCTTTGCTTTTGTGCTATATTGTACACGTTACTGCATTACCACCAGAATAAAATAATTAAGTACATTAAAAATTTTAACATACGATGATTATTTATTGTTAATCGTCGTAACTCGTAGCGCCATATATATATATATCTGTGTGTGTGTGTGTGTGTGTGTGTGTGTGTGTGGCAGATGAGAGAGAGAGAGAGAGAGAGAGAGAGAGAGAGAGAGAGAAAACGAGCTGTTACACCTCGGGCAATGACAACATGCTCTTCAGAAATCAAAATTGAAACTATATAAGACACTAACACCAATTTCTTCCTCTAAAACCTACTATTTCTATGATTCACATAAGCTGACAATCACAGTAATGTACGACCTGGCTAAGAATCACAGTTGGTATACAAGTACTGGATCAGTGGTATCCCCCATATTTGTTTTGATAAGTACATTGTTGTACCTTATCCTTGAATTACCAAAGTCTCACAATATATTGTTCTACAAGTAGTTTAGAAAGCCCTGCTGTAGAACATGTACAGTGTAAGTGCCATTGATCCTGGTGTCACAGAAGAAAGACATCAGCGGCATCTTCAGGATGCGTCACGTTCTATTAC